CAGCCTCGCCAGGACGGCGCGAGCCTGCACACGCTCTACGCCCGCGCCGCCGCCGTCCAGGGCGCCCGCATCGGCTTTGTGCTAGTTGTGCGCGATGATGCGGGAGGGGTACGTCTCGCCCCTTCCTCTTCCTCTCTCCTCTCCTCTCTCTGCCGAGATGTTCCTCTCTTGTCTCCCCTTCCTCTCTCTGCCGAGATGTTCCTCTCTTCTCTCCTCTTCCTCTCTTCCCTCTCTCTGCCGACATGTTCCTCCCGCTGACGGACAGACCTTTGGCGCCTACCTCTCCGAACACCCGCGCCCCGCCCCCGGCTACTTCGGCAACGGCGAGTGCTTCCTCTGGCGCGCCTCGGCTATCGCCGCCCTGCCGCCGCCGCCCTCCGCCGACACGGCCCCCGCCGCCCGCAGCACGACCATCGCGCCCGACCTCCTGACGGGCGAGCCAGAGACGACATGCTCCGGGACACCCCCCGGCGCCTCGTCTCCAGCAGCACCAGCAGCACCACAGGCACCGGCACCGGCACCGACAGCGGCGCCGGCCCTCCGCTTCAAGGCGTTCCCCTACTCTGGCGAGAACGAGTATTGCATCAACTGCGAGACGGGCTTCCTCAGCATGGGCGCCGGCGACGGACACTACGGCCTCTGGCTCGACGGCGGGCTCGCGCGCGGCCGCAGCGGGCGCAGCCTGACGTTTGGCAACGAGCCGCTCAGCGACGAGGGCGACAAGTTTGGCGTCTTGGGCGTTGAGCTGTGGGTGCTGGGGGCGTAGGGGGGTGTTGAGTGGATGCGTTGAGCGGGTGCCGGGGACGCAGACGGCGAGGCTGGGTCGTGTCGGACCGAACAGAACTGCAGAGACCCATCTACGCCAGGCGAAAGACGATCAGGCGGAAAGATGTATGCCAGCCGCGGACGGCCAGAAGGACAAAAGAACAGAAGGACACGGACAAAATCAGCTAGATGAGCGAATGATACCCTATTGAACCGCCTGAGGAACACACGCCTGAGGAACGAGCTGATGCCGCAGGACAAGGTCGCTCTTGGACTTGTTCACATCTTGCCTCCAGATATACCTCAGATATACCTCAGATATACCTCAGATATACCTCAGATATACCTCAGATGTGTCTCCAGATGGTACATCTCCAAGCTATGCAGACTGCGATGCGTGTAGAACCCGCCCTCGGCATGGGCAACGCCACATCTCGACCATGGCGATGCACATGAGCGCTATGCTGACAAGACATGCTGACAAGCATGCTGACAAGACATGCTGACAAGACATGCTGACAAGACATGTAGACAGAAATGCATGTGCAACCAACACAGGTCATGTACACATCAGATGGACACGCACCAGACAGACAACACGAAAAAACAGTCAAAACATCCCAAAGTTCCTGAAACCGTACCTGTATGCACCGTACCTCCATGTCTTGGGGATCGACCTGGAGAGGGCCCATCGCATTGACTGACGGGCGATGGACGCCCTCCTGGGAGAAGTGGGCTTGACCTCGCTCAGCATATACGCCAACATGGTGGTCTCCGTCATCGAATACCGTGGACCGGTGGTGGATCGCCAGATGATGGGAACCCAGATACTGCCCCCGACCTTGGAAAGTTGCATGGGCAAGCACAAATGGCCCGGGATGCAATAGCAGTACTCAGATGAACCCGACGGATCCAAGACTTGGAACAGACCCTGACCATGATGGAACCACGCAGACAGAAGATACACACGGTAAACATACATCAAGGCACGCAGCCGCACATACGTCAAGGCACGCAGCCGCACATACGTCAAGGCACGCAGACCGCACATACGTCAAGGCACGCAGCCGCACACCAATAGAATGCTAAGAAATCGTTGCCTATCCATCGCCGGACAGCTGTCTTGCCGACCTACCCACCGCCACCGCCACGCACTGCCAAAGACGCCGTTTATCAACCTCGCCTACCGCATAATCTCCTGGTAGATCAGCTGCTTCAGCTGCTCCTTGCTCAGCGTGTCCTTGTGCTTGTCAAAGTCGAAAAACTCCTCGGGGATGGGCGGCGCCGTGGGCTCGTCATCCGGGTCGTGGTACGGCTCGAGGTACGGGTGCTTGAGCGCCTCCTCGACCGTGATGCGCTTGACCGGGTTGAAGGCCAGCAGCTTCTCGAGCAGGTCGAGCGCGAGGTCCGACGTCTTGGGGAACAGCGTGCGGAACGGCACCTTCTTCTTGAACGGCAGCGAGCGGATGTACTCGCGCGCGCGGCGCGACTTGGATGGCCGAAGAAGTCCTCCATCGTCGGCGTGCGAAGACGTCGAGGATGAGCGTCAGTGGTGGGAGGTCTGTCT